TATATATATATATTTAAAGAAGTAAGAGTGGGGTTGCAGAGATGGCTTGGTGGTTAAGAGAACTGACTGCTCTTCCAGAGGTCGTGAGTTCAATTCCCAGCAACCACATGGTGGCTCACAACCATCTGTAATGAGCTCTGTTGCCCTCCTCTGGCCTGCAGGCAGTCATTCAGGCAGAACACTGTATACATAATAAATAAATCATGAAAAAAAAAAAAAAGCAGGAGTGGGACAGTGAGATCTCAACGCCTGGCTCAAGGGCTTTATATTTATTTTAATAAGGAGCTCTTAAAATGATTTTATGTGTATGGGTGTTTGGGCTGAATGTCTGTCTACAGCATGCAGCATGTTCATGCCTGGTGCCCACGGAGGTCAGAAAAGGGCATCAGATCCACCTGGAACTGTAGTTACCCTGTCAGGCAGCTCACAGCCTCCTGTAATGCCAGCCCCTGCAGGATCCAACTCCTCTGGCTCGGCCTCTGTGGTCACCTGCACTAACATGCACATACCTATACACAGTTATAAGTAATAAAAACAAATATAAAATTTTAAATTAAGGGCTGGAGAGATGGCTCAGAGGTTAAGAGCACAAGAGATCTGAGATCTGGTACCCTATGCTGGCATGCAGGCATACATGCATATATATGTAGGCAGAACACTGTATACATAATAAATAAGTCTTTTAAAAATTTTTTAAATTAAAAAATTAAGAGACAAAAAAGAGGTTGAAAAAAGATTGGGCTAAAAAAAGATTGGGCTAAAAAAATCTAGTACAGAAGGAAAATGATTGTGGGAAAGAAAAGATGAAATAGACTCAAAGCTGGGGTGGGGGCCACCACGGGGTGCTATGCTGTACCCGACCGCCCCTCTCTCCACAGTGCGCCCCACCATCGTCAAGATACCATCCACCCTGGAGGTGGAGGTAGAAGATGTCACCGCCTCCTCCCACGATATCCATTTCATCAAACCACTGCTGCTCAGCGAGGTCCTGGCCCAGGGTGGCCCCTTCCCTATGTCCACAGAGATCCTGGAGGTTCCTGAGGGCCCTCCCATCTTCCTCAACCCATGGGTGGGCTCCCTACGCAAAGGCCAGAAGCTCTGCATCTACGGGCCAGCCTCGCCACCCTGGCGGGTCGTGGCCATAAGCAAGAGCCGAAGGGTTCCCAGATACTTTATTCTCTCTGGGGCCTACCAGGGCAAGCTGAGGCGGAGGCCCAGGGAGTTCCCCACGACCTATGATCTTTTGGGTGCTCTCCAGCCAGGCCGACCCCTCCGGGTGGTGGCCACAAAAGACTGTGATGGGAATGAAGAGGAGAATCCTGGATTTTCTTTCCTGGCTGTGGGGGATCGGCTGGAGGTGCTGAGGCAAGGCCAGGTCCTTGGGACACAGGGCCAGGACATAGATGTCTTGGTATGTCAGCGGCTGAGTGAGCAGGCAGGGGAGGAAGAGGAGGAAGAGGAAGAGGAGGAGGTAGAGAACAAAGAACAGATTCTGCTGCCCCTCTACCTCTCTGGTGCCTTTGTGGAGGAGGTGAATGATGGCCGGCGCTATAGCCTAGTAGATCTCACTGCCCAGTTCTCCCTGCCCTGTGAGGTCAAGGTGGTGGCCAAGGATGCCCAGCACCCCACTGACCCTCTGGTCTCCTTCCCGGGCCTGCGGCTGGAAGAGAAGATCATGGAACCCTTTTTGGTGGTCGGCCTGGACTCCCAGCCAGAAATGTGCTTTGAGATCCCTCCTCGGTGGCTGGACCTGACTGTGATGGAAGCTGAGGGGCAGCCAGGCCAGGTGGCTGAGCCACGCTCTGTGGCGAGGGTGGAGGAACTGTCCGAAGCCTTCTACTACACTCTCCGGAAGCTGCCAGCCTCTGAGAGCCAAGCTCCCCCGCCCAGGCCCCCAAAGAGCAAGGGTGTCAGTGAGCAGAGAATAGAGAGCTGCAAGGCGGCCAGTGGGAAGGTACGAACAGCACCTAACAGTCAGCGAGGGGTCACCTGTGCGGCTCACCCTGCACCCTTTCCTCGCTTTTTGCCTGCCATGATCCTCTCCCTCAATTGTATTGAACTTGCGGCTCATTAAGTTCTAATCTTTGTACCAATCATTCATATTCAGGCCTCATAATCTTAAAGTTGGTGTGAGTATCTGTGTTTTCTGATGGAGAAAATGAGGACTGAGACTCTGGCTTGCCCCTCAAGTTGGAGTTACTAAATGGACTTGAGTGTAGACATTCTAAGTTTCTGGTGCCTTTGCTGTCACCTTGCTGCCACTCCCATGTGGAAGGAACCTCTGTTCTTACAATAGCTCTTAGGATGGCCTCCTGTCCTGGTTTGTTTTATGTGGCTGTGATAAAATGCCCTGAACCAAAGCAACATAGAGGAGGCGGGTTTGAGTTCACAATCCCAGGTTATAGCCTTTCACTGCAGGGAAGTCACAGAGATGGGCTTGAGACAGCTGGCATTCGACGTCCAGTCAAGAGCAGAAAGAAGATGATAAATGTATACCGCCTACTAGCTTTCCTGATGACTTTCTTTACTTCTATACAGTTCAGAGTCCAGCATAGAGAATGGGAGTCACCTACAGTGGGCTTGTTTGTCCAACACTGATTGGCAGGCAAGACAATCCCCCATAGACATAACCACAGGCCAACCTGATCTAGATAATTCCTCATTGAGACTCTCTTCCTAGGTAGTACTAGGCTGTGTCAAATTGACAGTGAAAACTAACCAGCATAGCTCTGAAATCTTTCTCTGGTTGCCTGCTGCACAGTTCTGAAACCTTCAGTGAGTCCACACGGCATCAGAGTCCTTCATTAATTGATAACAGTCTGGCATTCCTAGGCTACCTCCCACCACTTTGTGTTCCCAACTCCAGCCACAGAAGGGCTCTGGGTTGGCACATGGATCTAGTATGGGTCACAGAATTCACATAGCCCATACTAGAACTATACCAGACCCTTAAGAGAGCTGGCCCTGTTCTCTTTGTCATCTTACTACTGTGTCCATAGATTGGAGATATGTCATTTTCAATCACTATATTGTAGTCTCTCTGCCTAAGAAGAGTTGGGCAGGATAAGGGGGTGGAGGGCAGAGAGCAGAAATTCCACGTCTCCAAGACTGGTGGGCACTGCTGAATAAGCCAGGGGAGTCAAAGATGGGAGAGTGGGGATGCAGGCCCCAGCTACCCCTCTGAGCGTCTTTCTTAGTGGTAAACCTAAGAGGACTTCCCCTGCAAGCCCTTGTGGTAGCCACTTCCTGTTTGTCTGTAGCATGTTTCTTGGTGGCTGACCCCACCTATTCTCACAATGCCCCTCCCCTGTAGCACACTCTCCTCTCTCCAGCTGAGGCAAGTCACCTGAGCTCATATAGATAGGAGATGGCAGGGCTGGGTTTGAACTCGGCCCTGATTGCAGTGCCTGTGTGCCTGAGTGACCTATCTGAAGCATGTTTTGTGAACACAACAAGCATACTGTTTTGAGAGCTCAGGAGGCCTGCATTTATTATCATGTAATCTTGTGACAGTGGGAGTTAAAAAGATGAGTCCTGAGGAGCTTCAGTCTCACGAGGAACTCCTGCTCTAGAAGCCTGACCCAGAAAAACAGACAGCAAGTGGCACTGTTGGCAAACTCCATCTCATGGGCTTGACAGCTGATCTCGTACCTTTTCTGATTTCTAATTTTGGGGTTTTTTTTGTTTGTTTGTTTCTTTTTTTTTTTTTTGATTTGTTGTTTTGCCTTCCTTCTCAGTCTCAAGTTATAGGACAACAGCAATCCTACCCACAGCCTGAACCCAAGGCGAAGACTTTGCAGGAGCTCCCCAAGGACAAATCAAATCTGTACAGCAAGGTTTCTGTCCACAAGAAAGACCTTAAATCCAAAACTCAAACACAGGATCCAGGTAAGTCCTTTGGCGCATCAGGCCCCTCTCCCACCTCTGCTACCTCTGCCCAGGGGGACCCTACTGTGGCTCTAGTTTGAGAGACAGCCAAGCTTGTATGGAGTGGGTCAGGTGGAAAGGTCTCTATCTAGTCTTTCTCCCTAGACTCCACATCCTAGCAATGAAATGAATCCAGTCCCAGATACAGTGTCCTCCTATGACAAACTGAACAAGCTGTAGTGTTCAAAGAAAATGAATTGTGGTTTCTGGGCCATAGAGTTCGACTAAGCACTTCCCTGTTCATGGGAGGAAACTGAAAAGGGGAACTAGCCTAAAGACAAAGATCTGAATGACCTGGCTTTCTTTTCTTCTTCAGTGCTGAGCATACAACCCAAATCCTCGAGCACATTGGGCAAATATTCTATCACTGAGTCATATCCCCTGCCTGACTCAGATATTGACTACCACGACTATGAAGAAATCTGAGGCGCTGAGGAAGCCACAATTCCCAGCTGCTGCTGTACCTGAAGTTGGGATACCAGCTAACTCTTGGGAGACCTGGAGCCAAGTCTCCAGGGACTCAGACACAGATGGGCACAGAACCGAAATGGGACAGACACTATCCCTAGCTCTTTTGGGTTCCAGATTCCTGCCTCTGCCTGGTCCCAGGTTGCATGTGATATTCTCACCAATGCTTAGGTGTCCAGAGAAGCCATTGAGTTCTGTTCATTCCTGTGTTCATCAGTTGCCCCACAACTGGGCACAGAGAAGAATCAGGCTTCAGCAATGCCTGCCTCCTAGGAAAGTGAACTCAGTCCTCATTGCACACCTAGTGCTTGGCACCTCCTTTGTCTGCTCTCCCACTTCTGCAGCCCAGGCTCCGGGCCTGGGGCAGACGGTATTCTCATGTTGGTAGCACCTAGTCAAAGGGCTTGTGTGAATAAATGTGGGGATTTGCCTCCAAGAACAAAATCTTAGGAGGAGAGCTAATTTACAAAGATAGAAGGGCCAGAGAGATGGCTCGGTGATTAAGGCCCTTTGCTACTCTTGCAGAGGACCCAAGTTCAGTTCCCAGCAAGTACATCAGGTAGCTCATAACTGCCTGTAACTCCAGCTCCAGGGCATCCAACACCTGCTTCTGGAATCTGTGGGAACTGCACTCATGTGTGACCACACACACACACAAATAAGACACAATTTAAAAAGCTTAAAGCTGGGTTTGGTAGTATACAACTTTAATCTCAGTACTCTGGTGGAAGCAGAGGCCAGTCTGATCTACGTATTTATTAAGAAAAAAAAAAAAAAAAAGCAAACTATGGAGACCCAAAGCTGTGGAAACCTGGCATGCTTTTTAAAAATTATTTATTTTTATTATTTTATGTGCATTGGTATTTAGCCAAATGTATGTCTGTGTGAGGGTGCCAGATTCCCTGAAACGGGAGTTAGACAGGTGTGAACTGCCATGTGGGTGCTACGAATTGAACCTAGGTCCTCTGGAAGAACAGTCAGTGCTCTTAACCACTGAGCCATCTCTCCAGCCCCTTGGCATGCTTTGAGTGGTACTGTGTGACTTTAATCCCAGCACTGGGGAGGCAGAGGCAGGCAGATCTCTGTGAGTTTGAGACCAGCCTGGTCTACAAGAGCTAGTTCCAGGACAGCTTCCAAAGCCATAGAGAAACCCTGTCTTGAAAAACAAAAAAGGAGAGGGCTCCAAAAGGCAAGTCTAATTAGGTTCCCAGCATACCATTTACCAAATGCCAATTTCAGCGACTTCTTTCACCTTAGGCTTTAGTCTCATGACATTGTTCTAAGGATCAACTGAGGTATGTGCAAGGCATTTAGTACCTGTACTTGGCATTCACTGTTAGTATTGCTGTTAACCAAGCCACACTAGCACATCACACAGCTGTGTCTCCAGTCTCTGGTTTCTATGCTTGCAGTCTCATCATGGAATTCACTGAATTTAAAAAAAAAAAAAAAAAAAAAAAAAAAAATGCTGCCAGGAGGTGATCACACATACTCAAAACTGACTCCTTGGACTCTAGGCCAGACAGTGCTTTGAGTGGTTAGACAGCCACTCTGTCCAGAGGCAGAGATAAGAGGATAAATACAAACCTCAGTTCGTGCAAATTCTAGGTTGGTCTAGGCATGATGGATGAGGCCATCATCATATCCTGGGAAATGTAGAAACTGTAAGCTGGACACCAGAGAAGATGGAACAGATAAAAGGATGCTCAGTTTACAGCTGATGTGAGACTGGGTCCAATTTGATCCCCGGCACTGCACCTGTGTGTGCTCCTGAGTCAGCTCCTCTCTGGGCTGCCTAGACCTGTTCTTGCAGGTCCTCTGACCTTGAATGGAGTTCTCCAGGTGATTCCTACAGGCTGCTGCTGGCCAGTCCCAACTGTAGGCACCTCTCCCACCAATTTCTACCCATCTCTCTGCAGAAGCCAATGTTCACTGCACTGGAAGACCCAGGGACAGACAATGGAGAGAAGCAATAAGCAAGATCTTTGACAGAATGTTCCTTCCTGGCCCTGAACTACCAGAGAGCAGACCAATATACAAGGTGTCTCTAGTTTTCACTTCCAGTATATGCTCAATCTTGGCACAAAATTGAGTAAGTCACGAAAAGAGGCTACCAGTTTCTATGAAATAGGATTTCCAGGGCTGGAGAGACAGCTCAATGGTTAAGAGGACTGAGCTTTCTTATAGAGGGCCCAGGTTTAGTTGCCAGCACCCACCCAGCTGCTCATAACCGTCATCCAGTTCCTAGGACTCTGATTCTCTCCTTTGGCTTCTATGGTGGGCTGCACAAACATGGTACATATACATGCAGGCAAAATACTTCTACACATAAAAGCTAACAAAGGATTTGAGTAGTCAGGTGCTTCTATGTGGAGAAAGGCAGGAATGTCTTACTTAGCTGTGCTTAAAGGAATCTCAGGGCCTGGGGAGGTGGCCTAGTGGGTAAGGTGTTTGCTGTACTGAGGATGGTGACCTGAGTTTCGATGCACAGCACTTACACAAAAGTCAGGTCTAGTGGCCTCTATCTGTTAACCCTAACATTGGGAGGTTCGGGCCAGAGACATGCAGCTGGTCTAGCTGAAACATCAAAGTTTAGTAAATGACCTGATCTCAAAAACACATGGTGGTGGTACATGCCTTTAGTCCCAGCAGTTGAGAGGCAGAGGCAGGTGGGTTTTTTGGAGTTGGGGGCCAGCCCGGGCTACCGAGAGAGTTCCAGGACAGCCTCCAAAGCCACAGAGAAACCCTGTCTTGAAAAACCAAAACAAAACAAAACCCCACATGGTTGAGGGAGATGCCTGGTGTCAACCTTTGGCTGTACTTGGGTAGATGTCCTCAACCAGTGCTGTACCCTCCCCAGCACCCCAAAGCATGTTCAACAACTGCAGTGGATTTTTCAGAGTAATGACAGTTGCTCCAGGAACCCTCAGAGGACTTGTTTTCTTTTTTAACAAGCTGGGCTAGTGGGAAGGATATTACAATTGGGCTGGTGACGCCCCTTGAGCAGTGGCCTTCCTGATTTATATACCATGAGTTCCTTTGGGAACAGAAAATAAGTATCAGCACTTTTTGTTTTGAGACAGGGTCTCACTGTGTAGCCTTGGTTGACTTGGAACTAGCAATGCAGACCAGGTTAGTTCTGAATTCTTCAAAAGATCTGAGTTCTGGGATTAAAGGTGTTGGGTCACTACACCTGGCTCATTTCTACTTTGGAATGTTTTACAATGCTAGGCATATTAGGGTAAACTTATGTAAAAGTTACTGAACAAAATAGGGTACACGTTCAAACATTTTACCAATGTGAAATTTCTCCCAGCTATACTATCTTTTTTCTTTTAGGCTTATGAAATAAACTAAACTAAAAACAAAATCATTAATCCACACTAAATACTAATTCTTATTCTGGACTTTTTCTAGGTAAGCTTAGTAAAGTGTTATTTTTCATCATGTCCCTTTTCCCCACCTGCAGTCCTAAAGATTTCCCTGAGAGCAGGCTGAACACATAACCAGGTGACATTGGTGGTTTCCTTTTTTTTTTTTTTTTTTTTTTTGGTTTTTCAAGACAGGGTTTCTCTGTGGCTTTGGAGGCTGTCCTGGAACTAGCTCTTTTAGACCAGGCTGGTCTCGAACTCAGAGATCCGCCTGCCTCTGCCTCCTGAGTGCTGGGATTAAAGGCGTGCGTCACCAACGCCCGGCGACATTGGTGGTTTCTAAGAACACTGGTGTTCCAATGTACTGGACTCCGAAACATATGGACTTTCTACCTATGCAGAGCAGCCATTCCAGGGGCTGGAATTCTACACCACTGTCCTGCCTGTGCTCTGCCTCAAACTGCCAGGGCTCAGCAATCATTTGATCATTGAGAGCCATCAAATGTCCAGGACTCAGAGCAAGCTGCCTGATGCTAACTTCTCCTATTGCTAGTATTTAACCAACAGTTTGGTATCTAATAAAAACACTGATCAACTCCTGTGTGTGGAAGCAAACCCAGGTGCCAGGAGGCTAGTGGCATCAGATCCCCTAGAACCTGAATTAAGACAGTTGTGAACTGCCTAACATGGGTGCTTGGAACTGAACTCAGATGCTCTCTCTTGGTCTCTCTACTCTCCCCACCCCCCCCTTTTTTTTTCCAGAGAAGAATTCACTATGTAATCATGGCTTAGAACCTGATATGTTGATCAGGTTGGCCTGAGAACTCAAGAGCTTTCTGCCACCAAAAACAAGCCATTTTACCACTAAGTTGTCATTTGAATTCTATGGAAAGACCCACCCAGAACCACAGCTTTGTTTTAACCGGTAACTAGAGGAAATCGGAAATCTGTGAAAGTACCCATCATATATCCCACACTGGAACATGTTTTGTTTTTTTCTTGCTTTCAGCAATTACCTTTGTCTAAGAATGGATCCATAACTAATAACATAACTGGTAGTTGACCCTTAACTACAGGTGTGGGTCTCCAGAGGGAACTACTTTCTACTCTGTCTAGCAAACTGCCAGACATTTACTATTAGCAATCAGGGTTGAGAGTTTGTTTAGAAGTTAGCAGTTATTTGCATGTTCCACATTATGAACCCCACCCCCATGTTAGTTTCCCTCCGAGACATTATTTACCTTTGACTTCTATGAACTCATTTCCTCTACCACAAGAACAGCCTTTGTGCCGGACGTTGGTGGCGCACACCATTAATCCCAGCACTCAGGCAGCAGAGGCAGGCGGATCTCTGTGAGTTCCAGGCCAGCCTGGTCTACAAGAGCTAGTTCCAGGACAGCCTCCAAAGCCACAGAAAAACCCTATCTCGAAAAAAAAAAAAACAAAAAAAAAAGAGAATAGCATTTGTGAAGTCTCATGGCAGTCAACTCAGTTACATGATCACATATGTCAGCACCAACATGAAAGGCCCCATTCTTCAGTGCTGCCAGGGGCTGAACCAGCCTTGTGGATGGCGGCAACCCACTTCTGTAAGTTATACACCCAGCCTAAGGTCTAGTCATAATCCTTCATGACAATGCCACATGCTCCCACATCTACAACAAACCCCCGAGGAAATTTGCCTGATGAACTGAGTTGGATCCCTGAAATACACAGTGGAAGATGACCGACTCTGTACACTGTAGAAAGAGAAAACATACTCCAGCAAGTTGTCCTCTGACTTTCACAATAAGGTGAAAAACCAGTAACATCTCAAAAGCTATTACAATCAAACTTTTATTAAACATATGGACATTTATATTACAAAGAATGGAGTAACATTTCTTCCTCTCTGCCCTGTGAGGCCACCATACCAGAACCTCATGCTCACTTAAACCTACTTTCAGTTGTGGGCAAGACAAGGGAAAGGAAAGTGCAATTTTGAAAGTAACACCACAGACCCAGAGTGGGAAACGAAATTAGGCAGAAGGTAGTGGGTTCTTTTTGTGGCCCTTGGCCTTAGTATTACTTATCACCTCAACAGGAAGCCTTTCAAGAACAGAAGCTCCCAAGCATGACAGTTCTGCCCTGCTCTTGTGTTCCTCTTTCAATCCCGTCCATCCAGCCTGGAGTCCTGACTAGCTTATCTGGAATTTCTGTTAAGAAATCCCACCCTGGTTTACTTCTTTCTCAACTGTCTAGCTCCTTTTGAACGTCTAAACAACAAACAACAAAACAGAACAGCAGCATGTTTCAAGAGGACATAAGCTGAGACCTTATCTATGAAACTTGTTCTAGAAGCCACTGGCCAAAACCTACAGAGCTGGAGACAACAGATGGAAAAACAGGTCCAGCTGGAAATATTTCAGA